AAAGCCTAAGTTTTTAACTTTATAACAACCTGCCATATGTGAGAAAAGTTTTAAGAATCTCATATTTTGATAGATTGTACAATACACTATTGAAGTGTATCATAAAATTTAATCTCTTATATCTTGAGTTTGAAAGGACATTTGAGAGAGATGCTCTAACACGTGGGAAAATAGTCATTTTAATAAAGGACTGGGTCACAGGAGTAGATTAGCCTCTTGTCGGCAGTTGAATTTTGCAATTGGGCCACAAACCTTGCAAAGGCCAATATTTCCAAAAAATCTGAAAACCCTGGGCATTTGAATTATGAATAAGTCGGTGTTGTCCTCATTTTCTCGTAGGATCAATTCCGTTATTTTATTTAGATACCAAGCTGTTTAATCTCATTCGGATGGTGATAGTCCAAGTTATTTTACTTTACCAAAACAATAGACGCAGATTTTCTCTAAAACTAAATTATATAGAATTGTTAAAATCTCAATTTTTGGGCCTATGATAAGGCCCAGACGTCCTTTACTGTATGTTTTCCAACATCCAGGCCTGGTCTCAAGTAGGCCCATCCTATTGAACCTACAAACTTCACCATCTGAAGAGATGTGTGTGTTGGTAGAGATCCAAAAGCCCAAATCATAGGTTGAGCCCAACTTCGCAACCGCATTACTGGATGTTTACCGGTTCGTATTGAAAGTCCAGAACCTGAATTTTCTGGTAGGACCCATAATGTCTGGAGCATAAGGTGTGGCAGTCACCAAGTTTATGCATTAGCCATTATGGGGCTGGTTTGTTCGGGCCAGGAATATATCTGGGTCTGGGTTGGGAATGCCTGGGCTGTTAGGCTTCTTCTATCTAGGCAGGGTTTGCCTGTTGTTGGGGGTTTGTTTTTGCCAATTTATTGGGCTTTTGTTTTGCCTATTTATTGGGCTGTATTGAAGTTTATCTTCAGTCTCTTCCTTGTAAATCACTCCGCTATTTATTTATTTATACAAATTGCTTGAATTTTTGGGAAAAAAAAGAAGTTTTATACTTGATTTGAAAATTAACCAAATTTCTTAATAGACAATATGTATATATATGTAAGTGTGTGTACACACACATATAAGAAGAACTGGGCAAATTGATGCTGCCTAATAAGTAACATTATCATATTGATATGCAATAGACGTTATAGGAAAAATGGCAATTTGTGTCCAGAAGAAAATTAGTTGGTTTATCTCATTAATCCTCATAAGAATTTCACATCATCTTACTTAAAAATTTATTTACGATGTCTCTTTGACCTATTAAAATTGTTGTGTTTGTGTTTTACAAGACCATTTGCATATGTACACGATGACTAAATGAGAGTAATCAGAGAAATCAGGATACATACCACTTACCAGAAATAATAGAAAAAAAGTAGACACTAGATTAGAGGCAACAACAAAGTTATTTGGTCAAATTTATATAAACGGGTCTGGTTCATGGATTGGCAGCTGTAATCCATTGGTTACTGCTCGAAAAAGATGAAGGGAAAGAAAAGTAATTTGGGGACATCATAAAGCTGTGAGAGTTTAGATGTAGACATGTATATAATTGGAATTTATATGTATGCACTTCCTCTTCCATGAGTTCACCTTTGGATATATAGTTGAAGCCCACTGGACTCCACCATTTGCCTTTACTTACTCACCACCAATCCCCAAGAGCACTTTTTATGTGCCCCTTGTCTCCCTTTGCTCATTCCATGAAGGACTTCCAAATATATATATGTGTGTGTGTGTGTGTGGTTGTTCACAACTTGTTGCACAACCCCATCGGAATTAGTTCATGGAAGTTATCTTTTTCCCTATTTTTGGTGGTCTAAAGTTAAAAGCTTCTCACAACTTGTTATCAACCCTACACACCACTAACTACTTCTTGATGTGTATCTTTTACCTTTTGTTTTTTTGGATTAGCGTTTGAAATTTTAGAAAAGATTCTTTTTCGTGTTAAGACTGTGTAATTATTTTTTTCTGAATTTCGTAGTGATTAGAGTCTCGTGCACCTACCACTGACCTAATCTTTAATCTCAATTGCTTAGCACAAGACTTGATTAATGTTATACTGTGATTATATAACCAAATTAATGAGAATTGAAGCAAAGATTACTGAAAATTGGTCTAAATAAGGGATTGGATGATTAAAGTTGACTGTTATAAGAGTAACTACAAATTAAATGAAATGTGCAGAGCTCTTCATTCCCAAAATTGAAAGAGCAACAATCAATAATGGAGTTCAATTTTTAGGTGGAAGTTGTGTACAATTTGTATTACAAAACATCAAAGAGTTACCAATGGAGTAGAGGAGTCATATACAGAGTACAACATTAATTGCCTATGTTTATTTAAAGTATTGATATATTTATTTATTCGAGCAAGTCATCTCATTCTTATCTTACTCTCTCATATAAATGGAATAGGCCACATAAAATTTTTATTTATTACATGCTCCCATATTCAAGCAAGTATAGAATGAAATAACGATAACAAAATATATATATGTATATGATCGTGTCAGATCCTTGGTGCATCGCATGCATAGACTATATGTAGAAAGTAAATATGATCAATGTGATCAGATGTAGTCAAGCAAATGAATGACGTGGATAAATCATACTAAAATTTAATCAAGAATATGAGCATAAGGATAATATTTAGATTTAAGAGAATATATAAAAATATATAAAAGAAAAATTATATAAAAATATATACGTACGCACCAAGAGAAAAAAAAAATGGAGAACATAGCATGGAAATCGAGTTGTTGGTAACGATATAAAATGTGCTAGAGTGTGAATCGTCTTTTCATTATTTTTTTTTTCTCTTTCCCTAGGGCAGCCTTTTATCACTATGATCCAATGCGATGTTCATTTTTACACTTGCAAAATAGTGCATTTACAAGTGGTGACTTTGTTCTTACCTGTTTTTTACTTGCGTAGTATGATGGGTATTTTTTCTTTTCTTTTTTATTTTTAGTTTTTCCTTGTTAGCTTGTTCACAAATATCTCATTAATTTAAGCCAAGTATTTAATACGCACCAACTTGATTAGTCAACAGGAGAGAATAGTTCAATTTATTGAATGATAAACTACCAAATTTGTAGTACACCTGCCGGATTAGTCAACGCGAGGAGAGAGTGTAGATCAATTTATTGAACCATAAACTACCAATTTTATAGTTCCAAATCAGTGAAATTTATCAGTTACTTCTTGTAGTTAGTAGTATGAGACTATGAGCATGGTAATAAACAAGGGATCGATCGAGTTAGCTAAGGGTTGAAAACATTCGACAAGGACTAATTTGATTAATAATAGTGCTCAAAGCTAATTAATATTTGGGTAGGAGGTTGAAACAACTCATGGCGAAATGGTTTATTGGGATTCAATTAAATTAAAATTTTATCTCTAAAATTCAATAAGAACAAAAAAGATATGTGGGCTCTATCACTGGTTGCGGTTGTTACCATCTAATTATAGGGATATAGAAAGTAAGTTTATGAGGTCTTACTTTTAAATCGTACTCCTGATTTGAATGGTGCATGTGTTGTGTGGCCGATACATGTATTCTATATATATATATATATATATATATATATATATATATATTGATTTTTATTGTTACCGTTTAAGGTTGGTAAAGTTTGACACAACTCGTCAACACGATTCGAACATAACACGAGTTTGAGTTAACTTTAAACGGGTTCGGTTGTAAACGGATTGACATGATTAACCCGTTTATTTAATCATGTCATATTTGGGTTGAGGGATTCAACCCGTGTAACCTGTTTATACCCGTTTAACTATACGTGTCATAAGCAAATTTCTATTTAACTTTCAAAATAACTATCTAAATTTGAATCTTATAATTTATTCTTTTGTAGATTAGAGATTATTTAGTAATTTGGTTATATTGAAATTTATATATTTCTAGTATTTAATATTGTTTAATCGAGTATTATTAATAATTTAAATAATAAAATATTTAATTTTATTAAAAAGGTCATTAAACGAGTTACACGTGTAACCCGTTTAATAAACAAGTCAGGTTAGTATTGAAAGTTTTGTAACACGATTGTTAAACGGATCGTGTTCGGATTGAACTGTTTAATATAATTCTCTTAAATTGACACGATACGACTATGACCCAAGAACACAAATTACCACCCATCATCTAAGAATAGGACCCACAACTCCTCCGAATGAGTAATTTGTATGGTGGTGGGACTCACAACCCATCTTCCTTGTTTGGAAATAATAATTAAGTTAAATAGAATACTCCAACCATCAATCTAAACTGATTATGATTAATGAAATTGCTAATTACTATATTAATACTAATATTAATTATAATAAATGATGTAATTGACTTTTGAGACAAGCAAAGTTAATGAAACAGAGCTCAAGTCAAAACCATCACCACAACCCCTTGGATGGACACAGGGTCCACTAATTATCAAATTATATATTACCATAATGTATGGGCTGTAGAATTTAGGTTCATGATCTCAGAGAGAACAAAAGGCAGTGGGGATTTTTTCATAGAAACGTACTGATAAAAGTAGAAAAAAGCCCTAATATCAGTGGGATACCTGTTTTTTAGTCCTTTAATATGGACTCACATCCGAGTAAAAGCCCAGTCATCAACCTTGAAACCATTTCGCTCTGTCAAACAAGCTCTTTGTCCTTACATCAAACACAGTAGACAACCGTACGTGTAATTAATCAATATATACGTATATATAATATTTATATATATTACAGTATATAATAGTACTTTTTGAGCTGCACACTTGCACCCAACTTTATTACTTATAAATTCTGCTAGGTGGGACTACCTCTCTCATTTGTCTATATTACATAGAAGATTGAAGGGCATCCCATCCTCGATCATTAAGCTAGCTAGGTTATCTATCCTAGCTCCTTCCTTTCTCTCTCACACATTTCACACATTTCATCTTCAAAACTTGATATCACTGCTCTTTGGGCATGGAGATTGAGTCATCAAATCGAACGAAAACCGGCCTCAAAGGTAGCTGCTGGTGTGGTCGGATTAAGTCCTTGCCCATAAAGTTTAAGGACAAGGTGATAGAGATCATGCAGAAAACAAAGAAGATTGGACAAGATGATCCCAGAAAAATTGTACATGCCCTAAAAGTGGGACTAGCTCTCACATTGGTGTCCATGGTCTACCACGTTAGGCCTTTATATGATGGTTTTGGGGAATTTGGAATGTGGGCCATCTTAACTGTGGTGGTTGTTTTGGAATTCACAGTTGGTAAGCCATATATATATATAGATTACTTGGTCTAAGTTGCTTATATATGTTCAGGTGCTTATAAATCATATATAAGTTGAACACTAAAATATAAGTATTACAATTTAAATTACAAGTATAAATGTAAATGCATGTATCTCCTTTTATTTTCAGGTGCGACCCTATCTAAAGGTTTAAATAGAGGTTTTGCAACATTTCTAGCTGGTGCCTTAGGGGTTGGAGCTGTGCAGTTAGCCACCCTCTTTGGAGAGAAAGGACAGCCCATTGTTCTTGCCTTTCTTGTCTTCCTCATAGGTTATAGTACTATATTTGAAGGGTTTTTTTAATTATTATTATTATTATTATCAATTTATGTCTTAATTAACAACCATATATTGCAATCCAATTAAGTTTACTAACAAATTTGAAAATAATTATTTCTTTTTTTTTTTCCCTCATAAATCAAACTGAAGATCATAAAATTAATTAAGATGCATATATAGAAGGGTTCATATATATATTTTTCAGGCAACTAACACATATAAGTTTGTTATATATATATATATATAATGTTTGCAGCTGCTGCATCTACATTTACAAGGTTTTTTCCACATATCAAGCAGAGGTATGATTACGGTGTGCTGATATTCATATTGACATTCAGTTTGGTGACGGTGTCTGGTTATCGAGTTGAGAAAATATTAGAGCTCGCCCACCACCGAGTATCAACCATAATCCTTGGAGGTGCAACCTGTATGATCATCTCAATATTTGTTTGCCCGGCATGGGCTGGTGAGGATCTTCACAAATTGATTGGTGTCAATATAGAAAGGCTTGGAAATTTCTTAGAAGGTATGCATATATTAATTGTCACTAAATTTACATCCACAAGTTTTATATATAAACAGCAAAAGAAAATGCCCACACTCTTTATCGAAAAAAGAAAGTGCCCACACTGCTTTACTTTGCTGTTTTTAACATAAACGTGAGTTTCAACACTTAATCAAAGACAATGACTTGAACAGGTTTTGGAAGTGAATATTTAAAGCTTTGTGAGGATGGAGGCAATAAGCAATTTCTTCAAGTGTATAAAAGTGTCCTAAACACAAAAACAACTGAAGAATCCTTGGTACGTGGGTAAAACGTACATCTTTCTCTCCACTACTATTTTTAACCATTTGGATGAAATGTGTGAAATCTATTTAAATTAAAAGAACATGCATGTATAAAGCAACTCATATATATATATATACACACACACAAAACTTAATTGCAGGCAAATTTTGCATGGTGGGAACCCTGTCATGGTCGTTTCAGATTACACCATCCATGGAAACAATACTTGAAGATTGGAGTCCTTGCCCGCCAATGTGCCTACAAAATTGAAGCTCTCAATGGCTTTATTATAAACTCTGATAACCAAGTAATACTACATTTCTCTTCTTGCATTTATATATATATATATATATATATATATGTAATTCTCTAAGGAAGAAAAAAAAAATTGTATTTGTTAATTAACAATATTTGATTTAATTAAAGGGATTATTACATATAAATGGTGCTAATAACATATAGTTACCATTTGATGGAGGCAATGTCTCTTAGTTTCGAAAAAATGAAGATATGGAAAAACACTGTTTACCCTCACATATGTAACCACATTTAGGCACTTGGGTATCCCTTTCTGTGCATGCAGATATTACTTTTTGTTATCATGTACCACTTTTTGTGCTGCACAAAAAAGTGGTGCATATGCACAAAAAGTGGTAACTATATAAATAAAAGTAGTACCTCTATGCCCAAAACAAAAGTGTTACCTAATGCACAAAAAGTAGTACCTATGTGAATAAAAGTAGTACCTCTATGCCCAAAATTAAAGTGGTACTTGATACACAAAAAGTGATACCTGTGTGCACAAAAAGTGATACCTATGTGCTTAAAAGTGGTACCTCTTGTGAGAGTAATCAGTGATTTTTCATATCCAAGTTAGCATTTTGGTCAACTCCGAAATTATGATGAAACTTTGATTCTATCAAATAATTAATGTGGGCCATTAACACTGTTTATATGTAAAAGTCCCTATTTAAAACTACCGAACTATTTCTTTGAATTTCATAAGAGCTTGGTTGGATTATTAAATAACCTAATTGACTTTTTCCGAGTGTTATAAATTAAATTGTTTTTTTTTTCTTTTTCTAAATGATTTACATAATCTGGCCAACATTAACCCTTTCTTGACGCATGCACCTTGCTAAAATATTACTTATTTTTGCAGGCACCATCAGAAATTCAAAGGAGAATAAAAGCACCATGCACAAAGATGAGCTCAGAATCCGGCAAGGCATTGAAACAGCTAGCATCATCCATCAGGACAATGACACAGCCATCCTCGCCAAATCTACACGTCGAGATCGCAAAAATCGCAATTGATGAATTCAATAGTGCTATGGAAGCTGCCTCACCAGAGAGCACACAACTCCTACAAGTTATACCATCCGTTACAGTTGCTTCAATACTAATCGAGATCATTAATTGTGTTGAAAAAATAGAGGAGTCCATAAATGAGCTTTCCCAACTGGCACATTTCAAGAGTAGCGTGGAATTGAGTACTGTGACACCTGAGAGACCACAGTTCCTTCATCTCGGAAGCATAAAACCGGTTCGCGATGGCGATGGCGATGGCGATGGTGATGGTGGCCATGTCGTTATTACAGTACGTGGGACATCTCCTGATTCGCCTCAAGAGGGGAATCCTCAAGCACTAAGGAAGAGCCAACCGGCGGAAGTCTAAATAAATATACACTACTTACTAACATGTATGTAACTAATACAATTAGTATATTATATACTCAACTTTTTACACTTCAGTACTGTTGAGTTAGATGACTACTGTGCGAATATGCAGAGTACAGAGACAGTTTCAATTCATAAGCTTCTTCTTGTCGTAGTAGCAGTGGTATTCTTTGCCACCAAATTATAGCTATAAATAAAATAAAATTTAACAAAGAATAATATTAATGTTATGTTCTGTTGCATAAAATTAGTGCACGATGAAAATTTAGTTTATAACTTACAACCCAGCATAACAGTATATATTGTTCTTCTTTTCTTGAGCTATATATGATCGATGATGCTTAGCTAATTCCTTTTTCTTTCTTTCTTTTTAATTTTTCTTGCATAATATTTGGGAAGTTTATGGCGCTGATATACGCATTAAAACACAATTAAACAAAAAGGGATAAATACAGAATTATGAAGTTTTGAAGGTTAATTTACAAAGTCATGAAATCAAAGTCAACATTTTTTAGTGTCATGAAATTTTCTCAAAGAAGTGGATATTAAAAAAATATTGTTCATTTGTCCAAATTACCTTTGAGCAAACGTGGTATATCTCTACACGAGTGATATTTACATGCACAATAGTGGTACCTCTATCATCAAAGGTCTAGTGATACTTCCTTACCTTCTAAAATAGGAGGTCGAGGAATTGCCTTCCAAAATAGGAGGTCGAGGGTTCAAGTTCTCGTATGAGTAAGGGGGTGTATACGTATTTCTTGCCAACGAAAAAAAAAAATAGTGGTACGTCTGTGCACAAAAATGGTACCTCTAATCATAAAAATGGTACTTAAATGCACAAAAAGAGTGCTTAAAAATAATAAGAATAGTTTGGGTAAATGAATAGTGTTTTCTATATCAACCTAATATTTCAAAAAAAAAAAAAAAAAAAAAACCTGACCACGTTGAAAAATGTTGACTTTCACTCCTTTACTTTATAAATTGACCTCCAAAACTTCATGTTTTTGTAATTACTCTAAAAAAAAGTTGAAAACTTGAAATTGATTGTTTAACTTGTAAAAGTGCAATATAAACTGAAAATATAAGGGCCTGTTTGGTATGATTTTGTTTTTGGTGTTTCTATTTTTGTAGAGTATGGTAGCCGTGAATAGTAGAAAAAACACGTTTGGTAATATTTTTTTTTATTTTGTACAATGCCAAAATATTTCGTGAATATTGGCCAAACATTAAAATACCAATTTGATGTTTTTATATGTTTATGCATTGTAACGTTTGGTACTGGAGCGATCAACAATAAAAAATTTAAAAAAAAAAAAAAAAAAAAAAAACACACAAAAATGATATTTTTAAACTAATCATTATATTTTTCAAACTTAAAACATTTTTTTACAGAATATGTTTTTATATTTTGCTTTAAAAAATCTCGCAACAAATGAAAATCACCAAATATGTTTTCGATTATTATTTAAAATATTCTACAACAAAACACTTGTTTTGTTCTGAATTAAAACAAAATGTCAAAAAACAAAACGCATAACAAGCAAGTAAACAACAAAAAGAAGAAGAATGCCACCAAGGAATAGTAACTTAACAAGGGCATTAAAAGGAATAGTATTCAACTTTGTATATATAATTCGTTTGGCAACCACATATAGTCGCTTTATGCTTGTGCTTTGATCTGAAGTAGAAGTAATGTTTTTGCTTTTAGAGTGTATTCAACACTATTTAAAAGATTATTTGGTAACGTAAATTTGTTACAAATTTTTACAAACAAAAACATGAAAGCATGTTTGGTAAAAAATGTTGAAAATTTGAATGGTTAGTTTAAAATGTTATTTTAGATTTTTATTTATTATTTATGGATAGTGTTTTGCTACCGTGCGGAAGCAAACAAAAACATTATTTGATACTTTTTATTTTTGCCTTAATTTTGAAAGCACTTCGGTACTATTTAAAAGCACAACAAATATTACGAAACATGCTTCGTACTTTTATTTTGTTACGATAAACTGGCAAAAATAAAAAACACAAAGTAAAAGCACTAACCACAGCCCTAATAAATTTTCTTAATAAATTTCTTGACTTTTTGCATCCTATTTGTAGAACGTAGGAAAAATTATTAAAAAAATGAAGTTTTGGAGGCCATTTTAACATGGAGTCAAAGTCAACCCAATTTCTTTCCTAAACAAATTGGGACATGTACCCTCTGTTGACATCGTTCTTTTGAGGTTTTTTTTTTTTTTTGCCAATAATCTATTTTATGTAATGTTTTAAGTGTTGCACCTTGATTTTCAGTTTTCACCACTGTTCTAATTAGGTATTTTTGCTTTTCAATACTATTTAAGTTATTCACCATAAGTCTTTATTTATTTATTTAAATACTTCACACAGCCTTTTTGCTTTCACATTTTTTTAAGAACACCTCACCACAAATCATTTTGCTTTTTACCACTATTTAGTACAGTCCTAGCGAATGGGTAAAATGGATAGCACCTCGCAATCTTCATGCCTAAATCAGGCCGCGTCACCACACGAGAAAAAGAGAAAAAGAGGTGGCCGACTTCGCTCTGTCTTTCAGTAGCAATTTTATTCGACTCCTTTTGCTTAAAATTTTGAATTTTTTCTTTTTTATTCAACTCCTATTTGATTCTTAATTGTAGATGCTAACTATAAATAGAGTAATCATGAAGTAGCATTGAGAGAGAAACTACAACTTACTTAGTTTGTACCTCTAAAAATAATTTTCTATTTTCAGAGAACTGAAAATAAAATAAAAAACTGTTCAAAAATTATGCATAGTTCAATTTTCTAATTCACACACACACGACACACACTCAATAATTTATACAAACAGACAATGACATCTCCATAACTTCCTTGTAAGAGGAGAATTGTCTCATTTCTAAGACAAACTGCGTTCTACATTTCTCCCATGCAATTAATATGAAACTCTGTAAAAAAAAAAAAAATTTACTGAAACTTGGCTGTCTGAATATCCTTCGTTACAGGATGGAGGAAAATAAACGAACTATAAGCTTAATAATACCAGGCTCCTACGTATTACATCTAACTATTCTATGCATAATATACATAAAACGGATTTACTGATATACAGGTTGGTCAATCTACTTTACCTACCAGCCATATATAGGATTTTCTACCTGTGGAGGCAAAAGATGGAGGTCCTTACAGTGCTGCTTGTCATAGTCCCGTGTTCCAGGTATTGCCCCTGTGCACAATCTAAGGAACTCATTGCCGGTAAGACAGTAATGGGCAAATGCCAACCCTCCATCAAGCACCTCTGTCAGGTTTGGCATTGAAACTGATTTTGTGATGACCCTTCCATCATTTTTACTTGCATGGAAATCACTTTGATCATTATTCAAGAATCTGTCAAGATCAGAGTACTCGATAAATCTCTGGGTGGCGGCCTCCCATGAAAGGTTGTATCTCTGCTCCGCAGTAAGAGGCTGAGGCTCATTAACCATTGCTTCTTTCACTTTCGAAACAAAATCTTCAGGTGTCTTGTAAGTCAAACAGTTGGGGAATGACCTGAAGAACTCATTTGATGGGTGGTCCGCACAAACAACAAATTTTCCCATCGCAAGTGCCTCAGCTGTGGCCGTGCAGAGCACATCACTAACACTGGGATTTATGAAGACCTTGTAGCTACAAGCAAAAAAGAATATGTCAAGAAGGAGAATCAAAAAACAATCAGTTTCTTCTTTACAGGGAGTCTCGAAGCAAAATGAAACTTATTCCCCAGCAAAATGTTAACTTGGAGAAAAAGCTGATCTTGAGGTTTTCATAATTGGAATCTCAGACATTTAATTGGTAATATTTCCCAAAAACAGAATCTTTAGTTTTATGGAAGAAAAAAATTTCAATACGGTTTGTAAGGGTATAACTTCCAAAGTAGACGAGTGTCAAATAGTTCCCTGAAGAATTCTTACCCATGAAGAGAGTCATCTGCATGATCTCTGCCTTTCATGAAGTTGAGATTCACATCCAACCTTTTAGCCATACTCTGAACTTCATTAGCATCTTCTCCGTTACCAAAAACATCCAAATTGAAGCCATCAAGATCGTTCTTGTGCCTAGCTAACAAATCTATTAATTCTTTGTATCCCTTGGCCCAAACCATCTTGCCTAAGAAATATGCTCCTTTTGAGAAAGATTGCTGCCCATGCTCCCTTTCTGCAGCCACTCTTTCCCCAATTTTTAGAAACTTGGGATTCACACCGTGTACATTGCAAACTATAGATTTAGGTAAATCCTGAGTCGCAGCAGAAAGGCGAAGTACCTGTGTAGAGAACATTAAATATTTGGTTGATCAGTAAAATATTAAATTTAAAGGCATTTCGAATATATGATTCATGAGACGTCTCTTGGTACAAGCATGATAACAAAGTAAAAAATAAATAAATAAACAACTAGGAACAACATTGGTCATCAAAATCTCTAACAGGTTAGGTTGATACCTTGTTGCAGTACGCTCTAGTGACCCAATTGTTAATGTGTTTCACAAGGAAAGCTTGGAGAGCCCCATTCTTCTCCCTCTTGATATATTCCAAGTAATTTGTGTGAACAATACCAACAACATGGTTGAATTTGTCAGTCCATCTCTTGCCATGATGGTACCAGTTCAGATGTTCTGGTTCTTCCAGGATAGCAATGTCAGCATCCTTAGACGGGATAAATTGAGAAGTATCTCCAGCAGGTATTATACTTCGCCTTCCTTTTGAGAACTACAAAACAATGAGAAAAACAGGTAAAAAACTGAACTATTATATGATTACAAGATAGTTTAGAATCTAAGTCATCAGAAACCAACCTTTCCCGGATAGAACGAGATTTTGAAGTCAGCCTTAAAACCAACCCTTTCCTCGAGCCAGTTACGAATATAAATCTCCTGCTCTTCTGGTGAGCTGAAAGTGAGATTGTTTGGATAAACTAGTTCTTGGTCTGATCTACAGAGCCATGGTACCAAAAGTGTGACATTTTGTTTTGCGGACTTCGCTAAATATGCAGCTCGAAAAAGTGGATTTACGGCTGTTCCTGTCATCCAAGGAAGACTAGCAGTTGTGACAATGGCTACATGCCTTTTACCATCCTTAACATCATGCTTTGCAGAATCAGTCCAAAAGCCACCCTCATAACAATGTCCTGTACTTTGTATGACACTAGCTATCCTTAAATCCAGTTCGTCACTAGCGTTATCATTCTCAAGAATGGAGACTTCTCCTGCTGGTAGGGAGCGCAATAGAACTTGGTTCTTACGTTTGCTGCACAAGCTTTCCACTATCTTGTTAGATATATCTGCGATCATTGTCAAAACACTTAGGATTTTAGAGCAAATTTGTCTAATATAATGTCAATTGAATCTACCAAAAGTGGCAAAAAGAGAGAAAGGAAAAGGAATGCTGCATCAAGCAGCGAAGAATCTCTATTGATACACTTGTTTGCAATAAATTCCTGTTAGCAAATTTGTCGAATATAATGTCAATTGAATCTACCAAAAGTGGCAAAAGAGAGAAAGGAAAAGAAAAGAAAAGGAAAAGGAAGTACTATCCCATATATAAACTTTACAGTCTACATTGGCATGCCATATATGATACAGCTCTAATATCCACAGACCAACCCAGATCTGATTAAAACCAGGCAAGACCAATATTTGACTCATGAACTAAATACCCTAATAGAGCAAGAGCGTTTAATTCAAAACTAGAGGCCAGACTACCGCTAGAGCAACTACATAATACCAGTGAAAATAGATGCATGCAAATGCATATATACATGCATTATACATATATATATACTCCCTCCGTCCCAGTTCCCAAGGTGGACAAGTATTTTGGGACGGAGGAAGTATATATATATGTATAATGCATGTATATATGCATTTGCATGCATCTATTTTCACTGGTATTATGTAGTTGCTCTAGCGGCAGTCTAGCCTCTAGTTTTGAATTAAACGCTCTTGCTCACTCTCCTACTCATGCTCTATCAGGGTGAATCACAGTTTCCAAGGTGGACAAGTATTTTGGGACGGAGGGAGTATATATTATTGCTAGTCAGAATGTCTCATGCAGTGATAAAATATCAACCAGAGCTTGAGAAGCCAATAATGTACTTAATCTACCCACCCTTGACAACGAGGACCAAACTGGGTGATTTTCTTTAAATGTTATACATATGCTACTCTTTGAGTAATAAAAGAGGTCAAATATGGCATAGTGGTCTTAGCTTTGTGAACACCCTGACAATTCTTAGGTTCAATTCATCTCCTGAAAAAATTTCAAATCAGAAGATCTATTGAACAAGTTTCAAGCCAACACATAAATAGGGCGACAAAAATCAGAGCTTCCTAGGCCATAGAAAAAACTAGTACAAGTCCAGGAGAACATGAAAATTATATGGGCCTGCCTGTGATTTATGACTGATCCAAGCTGCCAACAAGTCTGATCAGTGGATTGTTCCCGAATCTCCTCTCAATTACTAAATCAGCGATTTGAGAGCAGGAAGCAGGATCCCATATAGGCAAATCAGGACACTTAATCATGAACTTGCTAAACTCCATGATAGTCCTAGTCCTCTTTATATTCCACATTTAACCAGATACAATTACATCAATAATATAAGTGCATACTGTATACAGTAATCAGCTTCTGCATTTTGCCACTAATACCGTCACCAACCAAAAACAGCAGTATAATGAGAATGATTCACTATAGCAGAATTAAGTGAACTAAGAACTACACCAACAAATTAATAAAGTTTCAATAAATCAAATCACCTCTTCCAAGGCCAAGTTGATCCAAAAATGGCCCAGATTGCTTAACCAAATATGCCAAAAGTTCAGGTACATCCAGTGGTGGGACTTCCTATATAAGATATAAAAGGTATTAAAGAAAGAAGGAAAGAGGAACATTCAGCATGTTTGTAAGTTACAAAAAAAAACAAGTAGTCATTCATTCAGATTTATGTCCATATGAGGTTTTGACTACGCTAATTGCAAACTAGGCCTGAGGCTTAGGCTTATATTCCATCAGATGTTAGAATATTGGTAACTTACCAACAACTTCTATTCAAGGGATAAAACTTCAGACACGCATAACTAAAAAAAGGACACAAAGAAGATGCAGTGTCCACCCAGGAATATACCACCTTCACTGAGAGGGAGAGAGTTCTGATGTGTTTAAAATGATACATGTGTCTCTTTCCAATATAAGTAAAAGCCACGATTACCGGATGCTGGTGATGGTAACCACATGCCTTCCAAATATCACTTGATATGCATGTCTGAAGTTGCACCATATTGAGAGTGCAGTATTGGTTATATATAACAACTTACCCAATATAATGATACACAATTAAGAAAAAATATATATAATGATACACAAAGAAAAAAGAAAATCTTGCTGAGGCCCAGTAAAGAGAAAAAATTAGACCCCTGTTCTGATGCTGTGAAAGAGTAGCAAAAGGAAACAACTTAATATTTAGGATGATGAAGTTCTCAATATTGACAATTGAATTTGCCTTCATGAGATGCTTTTTCATTTTCCAGACAACATATTAGATAAAATTTAGAAAGGCCCCTAGCAAGGCAAGGGGATTTGAACCCACTTTTGGAAAAGAAGAAACACTGCCCCCTGCCAATTCATGTGACTGAGGTACCATGCTTTAGCCCATTTTATTTTTTACGTTTTGGAGTTCGGGGAGCAAGTTCATTCAATTTTCAATATTGACAACCAAATTTGCCTTCATGAGATGATTTTCCATTTTTCAGACACTCTTCGAAATTTGTTCTTTTCTTTCAATATAAAAAATGTCCAGCTCCCAGACATGGGGGTGAGTGTAAAACTTTGTAAATGAAACAACAACTTCAGAGTATAATATGTGAAAGAAAGGAATTACATGTGTTAAATACCAACCTTTGACTCATCCGGTTCCTTGCAAATTGATTTCTGCAACAAAAAATAAAAATAAATAAATAATAGTAACAACTACATTTTTCCACAAAAGAAAAAACTGAATACATGAACCCCACCCATATTTTGATAAGTAAATTGCAACGCATACAAAATTGAGCATCATTATCTTAACCACTAAAGGAGAAAATTGCTGCAATATTTAATAGAGATGACTAAAATGCTCAGTATCAAATCAAACACCAGTTTGAAAAATCAAAGCCAGAGATGACTAAAATGCTCAGTATCAAATCAAACACCAGTTTGAAAAATCAAAGCCACGGCTAACATCTTACTGACTAGCACGATATAATTTTCCTTATTCTTGCTATTTTATCAGAAAACTATGTCATCCTTAAACAAGGTTGTAATCTATTCCTAAAACCCCCTTCCCTAAATATTATGAAAACAGAACTTATGCCAAGATAGCAGCAGCAGTTGTAATGCTAATCACATTGAGGCATATGCATCTGATCAATAAACATGCAAGCCTTAGGACATACCTGATCTCATAAGCCCCTTGATGCACTAATTGGTCTCAACATATGATAGCTGGTAACAGTTAAAAAACTGCATCATGCCCAAAAATCCTAATTCCGATGATCTTGGCTCCCTTTATTGCGTTAATTATCATATAAGGGGATTCAGGGATTAGAATTTTGGAAAAGTAAATGGACAGACTTTCAGGTATGATTTATTTAGAGATGTAAAATGGACTGACTAAGGCTTCCCTTCTAACCTAGTTCATTTCTCTCTTCCAAACAGTCTCAATGACAAACATGTCAAGAAAATTCAGGACTCAGGAGGCAACCTGCACAAAGATCTAACAAAACCACTTAACCAGTAAGAAAGCTGCAGAATACCAAAACTAAATATTAGCTTGGAAACTCAAACAATATAACCCCCAAAAAAGAAAAATAATAAAGGTGGAAATAAGAAAATCCCATAAGAGTAAACCAAAATGCAGTAAGAAAATGAATAAGAGAGTACCAAAAGCTCCATCTACAACTCTAATAATGTCATCCCCCAAAGTTTCACATAAATGAGATGCAAGAAACTGATCAAACAAGGTGCTAAAAATAGTATCTTTTTATGTTTCCTGACAAATAATCACAGAAACTACTTCTCTGAAGACTACAAATCTAGCAACTACTTTTTTTCCTTCTACTATAAAACGCCAATTCAAATAAGTTCAAGTACCACATGCTGCTGAATCTATTTGTTTTGAGAGGGAACTTCTTTAGATTATTTTTCAAGAGGAAAAATACATTACTTTTCAAGTACATGGATACATTACTTTTCAAGTACATGGATGCGCCCCTTGGTGTTATTAGTGGATTTTTATCCACAAAAACATATATTTCTTAAAAGCACTGTTAGCCTTGATGGATGTTGTAGCATGTTGTATAATGAAACAAGTGGAAATTAATATCGGAAAAAATATTTCACACAATCACACTTACAAATTAAGCAAAACCCACAAGGTAAAGTATTTTATAAGAAATATACAAGTAAATGGAAAAACAAAGTAATTACTCTTTGAAAAAAATCCAAATTCAAGGCAATAATTGTTTAATAACCACTCTTCATCGAATTAACAAATGTTCGGAGTCTAATTCAACACAATAATTGTTTAATAATCATATGAAGCCTCTAATTCCAAATATCAAATACCAAACGATGCGCATAATAAAAGAACTTAACTCGAAAAACATATACTCGAAGAAACTGAAAAACATACCAAGCTTGACTTCACTTTCTCTACGAACTCACTGTTCTTCAAACCCACAAAAATCTCCGAAGACGAACTCTTCTGCTCCAACTCCCGCAACCTCGTCTTAAACGCCCGTATTGGCTCCCAATCCCGAACCCGACCTTCCTGGCCGCTGCTCTCTCCCTTCCACTCCCACCTAAACTCCTTAAAACTCTCCCTCCTACCTCTCCGAAATCTCTCTCTCATATCAAAGTCCACTACACTGTCCCTATCATCGACTTCGGCCACGATCGCGTTCTTTATTGCCGACAAATCGATGCGAATTCTTGACCTAGGGCTCCATCTCTCGAGGACCTTCCGGCTGAAGTCTGGCGTCGAGTAGGCGCGACGAAGTTCGGATAATTTCGGCTGCAACCGTTTCACGAAATCGATTTCTGCTGACGGCGAATACCTGATTCCCGGGACCAAGAACGTCGATTTCGTGGCCGAATTGAGGAAGTTCTCGAACTCTCGGTCGAAGGACGAAGCTAAATTCTTGAAAGAATTGGCCCTATCTTTCATCAATTGGAGATCTGCGTCCGCCGAGTCCTTCACTTCTCTCCAACCTCGCGATATGAACGAGAACGCCTTCTCGGCACTCGCTGCAGAACTCGACGGCGTCGACTGCCGAGTTTCCGGCGGCCTGAAATTGATCATTGGAGGCTGTGAATTCGAATTAGGGTTTGTTCTGTTGAGTCGTTGGTTTGGATTGAGATTGTTGAAGGAGTCTGGAACCGTCTCGAGTGCGTTGTGTGAAGAACAACAACCAGAGGCGAAGGCAATGAATAGGTGAAGTCGGCTGAGATTTTAACGGCTAGGATTTGGTATTATATATAATAAGAATATATACATATGCATATGTATAAAAAATAAAATATACTCCATATCATATTGATTTTTTCTGGAGTGGCGCGAGCCAGGTGGGCAGACACGTAGGATATATCCGTGTTGACGAGATCTGAGGATGATGACGTGTAGGGCGTACTGGTGAGGTGGTGGGGGTTGAGTCACGTGTTCTGATGAGGTGGTGAGTGTGATACGGAATATTCCGGAGCGTGGAATATCCTTGGAGGTAGTTGATTTTTTATGTGTTTACCGGATCTCAATCACATATGTTTTTATTTGCAAGAAATAATTTTCATTTGCAATAAATCATTTTATTTCCATGAGTTAAAAAATTCTTTTTGGGTAAGTATTTGCAAGAAAACTTGTTTAGTGTACTTCCCCCAAACATAGAAAGTTATTTTTAAATTATTAGTCTACTTTCCCTAAGCACATGGTCTATCCATGTGCAAATTTGTCCAACTTCGATCAATTTTTATATCACTGTTAAGGGTTAAATTATTAATATTCAACTATTTATAATTTGATTTACTCAACTTCCAAATAAAAAATTAATGATTTAAACTTAGTAAGCCCAAATTGCCAGTAACTCTCTTTTTTATTGGCTAGCAATGTGTTGGGTTCGAAAAATTCAAACCCTAACACACTCTTTTGAAAACACATCTGCTTGGAAAGTTAGATGCTCTATCAATTAGGTCACAATAATGTTTCATTTATATATTAATATTTAATTATTTGTGAACAGATACTTGTTTACTAAAAATGGTATACTCAATGATGTTTCATTTATTTATCACTACTTTATTCTTTACAAAACGTGTTTTATATTACTATTAAGGGTTAAATTATTAATATTCTAACTATTTATAACCTGATTTATTCACCTTCCAAATAAAAAATTGACGGTTTAAGCTTTCAGAAGCACATTTGAATGCATGAATTTTGTAAGAGAATAAAAAATAATAATAGTACTAATAAAGTCAGTCTCGTAAATAATCCAAACAAGAAAAATCTAAAGGTTGATAAGCCCTACAAAATTTGGCATTTATCACACTTGGTCTCCACGAACCCCCCATGCACTTACTCTCTCTAACTTATGAGTTGACGGACTGCTTAAAATGTGATCCCACCATTGTTTGTCCCTTGTAAACTTCACCGTGCATATCATTGTCTGTTTGTTTTTGGGATTCTAATGCTCCATTAGTATACACACTTTATCATTAATATATTCTTCTTTTTCTTTTCTTATTTGGAGCTTTTCACACCTCTAGTCCTCTACTTCAATTTTACAACGTTTTGGCAGACAAACTTATATTCTAATTTAGCGGTGGTGAATGCGAGACTAGTCTATTGTTGTCGCTCATTCTAGTATTATAGTATATCCAATTTTTTTGCGGACAGAAATTTTTGTTTCTAATAATTTAAAATTAAAAAATTGTAAAAAACCGGCTTGGTAGATAATTTAAAGAATTGTTTTATAAAAATTCAATTTTTTTTATAAAAAAAACTTATTTTCAAATAAATATCTCTTATAATTCTTTAAAAAGATTTACATACTTACCTACTTTGAGGCAAGGTCAGTTCTAGGGCAAGGCGACCAAAGCTGTTCGTCTCCAATTTGGAAAGGCCTCAATTTTTGGATCATAGTGCAAATATAGTAGTATAAATGTATGACATTTAGACCATAATTAAAAGACTATACATACCTATATATCATGTAAATTTATAACAATATATAACTTTCAAAATAAAAATTAAAAAAAAATTATGACAATAAACACACGTACTTATCATATCAATTTATATATGGTAGACAAAATTTATATGGTAACAACATTAAAACTCAGAAAGTGGTTTATTTTATTATTATATTATTTTTAGGCTCATGTGCATGCATGGCAGGCCCCGTTAAGACGATTCCAAACAACCAAATTATTTTCAAATTTACAAATCTTAAAATAAACTTTACCAAGACAAACAAAAAAATTAATTAAAGTATTTGATTTTATAAAAAGGTCAAGTTATTATTTTCCAAATGCTTGGATTGCAATAGCATTTGTTGAGAGAAATTTTTCAAAGTTGAAATTGATCAAATCTTACTTGAGGTCAACAATGTTATAAGAGAGATTGAATGAATTGGCTATGATATCTATTGAAACAAATATGTTGGAGAAACTTGATTTGAGTATTTTAATTGATAATTTTGCAGTTCAAAATGTAAGACGATCGAATTTACTTTGATAAGTTGAATATTTATTTTTTATTTTTTTTATGTAAACTAAATTGTATCATTTTAATGAAAATTCTGCACTCTTATATTTTTTTGCATGTGTTAAACCTTACAAGGGTACATTTGAAAGTTCGTCCATGGCCTTTCAAAATTTTAGAAATCTCAAGGCTGCCTGTTTTGAGGTTTTGATTTATGTAATAGATCCCTTCTCCTCCCTAGTGCTTGATGAAGACAAATAAAATCTACTAACGTCCGCAACATTAAATAGGATATTATAAATCATGGAAGAGTGAAGTAAGATATTGACAAGTCTCATTAGAGACAAATAAAATTTACTCAAAAAAATTATATTTTCTTAGTTGTTTAGAATTGCCTACATTTTTTCTTCTTAGACAAATTATTTTATTTTTTTATTTTTTTATTTTTTAACTGTCTTCATTTGAGGGGGAAAAAAAACCGCCATCTCTACTTGAGACGACCCACTCACCAACTTGTTTGTTTTTCAAAAATTAGATAAATTAGTCCCTCACCACTATATATGTTTGAGTTTTGCATCCTCGCATAAACTTGAAGTCAAAATTTTGATAAACGTTGCTCGAGGTTTGGCAATAAATTAGACCCTTGACCAATAAATGACCGTTGATACCGTCAAACATTTTTACGTTGAATGTCGACATTTCCCCTAATTAATAATTACAGTGGAATTACACAATTAAATATTTGCAGCATGTTTAATGGTACTTGGATCACTTCTACTAAAGGGTCAACGTGAAAAAAACGAGATTCTTTCTTCGATCGGATTACAGATGAGATCACAAGTGAGTAGGTAAGGAGTGAATCCATCTTTATTCTCAAAGTCAAGTTTCTCCATGTTAGTCAAGTTTTTTTTTTTTTTAATTATTATTTTTTATCTAAGTAAACTAGCACACACTCAATGTCGAAATTTAATTTTCTATTTGAGAAAGAGAATTTATATCATCTAAACCATCCATCAGTCTAGTCAGTCAAGCTTTGAAGCCCTGCCTTGCATTAAAAAATAATATCAACTATACTTGTGGTACTGAAAATTGTTTGCAATATCTGCGGAAAAAGAAAAAATAAAAAAAAGAAAAAGAAATAAAGAAAGAAAATTGTTTGCAATTAGGCACATGTTGAATCCTTCTCGGCCCATTATTGAAACCTTTTGGTCTAGTGGACCTCTGTTACGGAGAGAAAAGTTATTCATATTTCTAACTTAGTGTCATTACAAGTCACTAAATTCGTGTTAAGAATTTACCCATGTGACAGCCTTCATCACGGACATCCAAGGTTCGTCTTGCATCACTCCAGCCTGCTAAATTAATGTAGAGGAAATTAAATTAGCCGTTAGCTAGAGGCCCAAATCATTTGGTGGGCCCAATTACCTTAACTGTCATATGCAAAGCTCAGACTAAAAACCTTTTTGTTTGTTTTATTGCTACGAAAATTGAATTAAGCGAAAATTTATATATATGAAAAAAAAAAAAAAAAAAAAAAAAAAAAAAAGGTTAACTCATTTTAGGAAAATAAAATATTCTAGCATTCACAAATTGAAAATTTACAAGGCAATGCAATACAGAGTAAGCTAAAGTCTTTGGTGGTAACATAAAGTAAAACTGTAAAAGTGAAAGTTATGGTTCTTGTTAGCTTGTTATTTAATACTAATAATAAGTACTATGAAAAAAATAATAATAATAAAATAAAATATATGAACAATATATAAATTTTTATAATCCAAAATATACATATTTTTTGCTATTAATCCACTAAAAATAAACAAAATTTTATTCTATCATAAGTCAAAGTTTTGTTTTATATGTCACGAAGTAGCAGTTGTTTTATAATATGCTAAAAAAGTGTAGGATTTTTTTTCCTAATTGGTACTCACACACACTTGTGTCTTTTGAGATTTGAACCCCTGACCTCCTTTTGGGAGGTAAGAGGCTGATACTGCTAGGTTGACCCGTTAATAAAAAAAAGTGTAAGATTGAAAATGTATAATTTTCTTCAAAGATAACATCACATCTGGAGTTTTTGTTTTTGTTTTTTTCTTTTTTTTTCATGGCAAAAATATTAGGGTTAATTAGAAAGGGGTGCGGATGATCGAAGTCGAACTTTTAAGGATAACGATGAGCAACCAACCTTACCGCTTTGACTACAAAGGCATTTACACATCACAATTGGAGGCTGATGACTGGAACATCACTGCACGTGTCCAATGATAAATATGGGTGCTCTAAGAGATTGGGCATCATCATAGTCCAATATATATATATATATATATATAAACCTTATGTTTTAATAAGTATAAAATTCAAGAGTAAATTACACTTACCTCCTCTATGATTTGGGTAAATTACATATGAGTCAGTTGTGCATCATTTATTATTTTTAAGGTAAATTATAATGATAGCCCCTTAAGTTTGCAATAAAGACAGACATATATAATTTGTTTATTTTTTGGGCAATGACACCCCTTGAAGAATTGGCAGTCAAACATGACCTTAAATTGTTTAAAAAGTCAAAATTGCCCCTTAATATTAAAATCAATTATATTGTAAAATATCTGACATATTGAAATGTCAAAATTACCCTTTAGTACCATTACATATCAGCTTTCTATCTTTTCTCTCCTCCCAGCTTTCTCTCTCCACACTCTGCGGTCATGTATTCTCCAACGAAATCTCAGCCTTCCATCATATGTTCGACGACAATAGCTTTCCATCATCACCATCCTTCAAGAACCCCTCAAGCAACAACTCCTTGGTTGCCGCCCCACTATTTCTTCACCGACATGTTCCACTGCTGGTCTATTGGGTCCCCGATGTCGTCGACGCCATCAGCGTCCCACGAATCATTTTCAATGGCAGTTGTTGTTTCGCTCGTGTCTGTGAAGGCAAATATCGGGTTGTTAGCGGCGGCAATGAACACCTAAATTGAAGCGTGGATGCTCATAGCATATCATGAAGTCGTTGTCGTCGACCAAAACGAAAGTCGTTGCTAAGAGATCCAATGAGTTAATGAATGAGATGTAGTTGTCGACGAGCAATGAAACCTGAGTTTGGTGATATGTAACGGCCATTTATCCTACAACACCGGTGGCCGCCTAGAGTGCAACAGCCTTGGCGGTGCCACCCTCGCCCAATTTGGCCTCCACCACGGCCATACCGACCTCTTATCCTATAAAGTTGACAAACATACAAACAAATTGGAAAAGGCAAAGCGTGACTTGGCAATGTGTCGATAACTTGTAATTTCTTATCAATGATAAGGCCCACTAAAACGGTCAAAGGGCAATTTGGTCAATTTTATATGGTAGGTGGCTACATGGGGTGTTTTTGTTAACTTCTTAACCGTAAGAAGGTGTCATTATTCAAAAAAATAGACAACTTGTATATGCTTGTCCGTATGACACACCTCAGGATGTCATTATAGTTCACCCTTATATATCCCCCTAAACTCGTTGGTCGGCGGTCAAAATGTGACTTTGACTATAAAAAGTTGGTTATGACCTTATATTGTAATAATTTATTATAAAGCAAATATTTGTTAATATGAAAATTAATGTGACCCATCAATAATTTGTTTAAAATTCGGGGAGGTCAGTATAATTTATTATATTATCTTTTCAAATAAGGAAGGGATAAAATTTTTATTTTATAAAATTTGGTCAAATATTAGAGAAATTAAAGCGCAAATGATCAATTTGCGTGCAATTTGTTCAAAACTCGGGAGGTCGGTATAAACTCAATATGTACTCACACGTGGCAATGCCGTGTTTCCCCGTATGCTTGTCTTCCTTAACCACGAAGGAATGAGGAAAGTGGAGGAGAAGGGAGGGCATTATTGTCATTTGATTTAGATTGGTGCGCTCTATCGCGAATCGAAACTGAATAAAAGTGGTTCGCCGCTTTCTTCTGGTCTCAGGATCAGAATCGTTAATTGGGAAGAAAAGTTTTTTAAGTTTAGAAAGAGAGAGAAATAGAAAGAGAAAGAGAAAGAGAGAGGAATGGGGCTTCTATCCAACAGGTATGCTTTCGATTCGTTATTTTTTTGGTATTTTTCTTCAGCTGCATTTCAATTCGTTCTGTGTATAGATTTGGATGTTGATTGGGAAAATCGATGAATGAACAGAGTGGATAGAGCAAGCCTCAAACCAGGCGATCACATCTACTCCTGGAGGACTGCTTATATATATGCCCATCACGGTAATACTTTTCCTTGTATATATACACACACTAAATATTTTGTTAATTCTGTTGTTAGACTGTCTTTTTGTTGGAATTGATACAATGACAAATTTTTAGGGCTTTTCCTTGTTTATTTTTTTCCCCTGGCAAAATGTGTATTCTAATTGATATGCCTAAGTTTATATAATTGGTGGTATTGAGAAGGCGCATTTGTTATAGTTATGAGTTTTGATTTCATGCTGAAGGTGAAACCCAATCTTAATTTGGTGGTGTTTTTTGAGAACAAGTTTAAATGCTTTTGTACACTACTAACTGGATTATACCATGAGGCAAATAGGGTAATTAACTACTCATGTATTGCCTTTCTCAATGAATATCCATCATATGATATTAAGAAGTTGGGATGGAGAGATTTTATGCAGCACATACCAATGTTGGTTGTAAAGTTTATATCTTTGACTATGAACTAGAAAACCCAAAAGAGGCGGATCCTCTCCATTCTCTTCTATTTCCCGCCAGTGCATCCAATGGATAGCAGTCAATATACACTTTTTGTTGATGTCTTCGTCCAGTGTTATCCATTAGATCACCAACGAAATATAGAGGATCTTGTTCCAAATCAAGAACTTGGCATTATGTGCTTATTGCATTTAATACTCGTCATTTAAAAGTTTTTACATTTACGGCTTTACCATTGCTTTGTTGATCCTTTCTTTTAGCTTGTTCATTTGTGCGTCAAAGTCCTTATTTAGCACCTTTGTAGTGCTAGTGCCACCATTGTTCTTTCCTTAGGATCAAAGCTTTGTACAAATTTCCTGACCTAAGATATTATATTTGTGCTCTCGTTACTCTTCCAATGTTTGTATCTCTTGTTGATTGAGTCAATTCTTTCTGGTGCATTTCTTTGATTCGTTGTTCAACATACTGATTTTGGAATGCCATGCACCTGTACCAGCTTTTGTGGTTCCACCTTACTCTCTTGTTGCCTATATGGCATACTTACATAGCATATTAAATGCTCTCTGTCTTTTTAATGACCGAGAGAAAACTGTGCATTATCCTAAAGGAAGGACTTGGCAGAACATCAATAATGGTAGGATTTTAGTAATATGATTGGCAAATTTCGTATGACAAAACTCATTCAATGTAATTCAATGTTTATATCATTAGTGAGTGATTTAGAAATAGGTAGTTAGATGAAATTAGTGTGATGTCTATACTTGGTGAAAGAAAAGCTACATCAAAGGGGCGAAAAAAGGTCCAAGATCATCTACAAAGGGCAAAATCTTTCAAAGTTCAAAGATGTCTTCTTCTCAAATCAAAGCTTTTATATTGCTTTATATTATGCTTGGATTGATGTGATGTTTCAAACATGATTATCATATTGGTATCAATCTGCATAGATATATGTGTTTAAGCAATTAGCCAAATTTAATGCTTCAGAATTGGTAAATTTATTTAAAGTTTATTTTAAATTTATTTAAAGTTTATTTTAAATTTATTTAAAGTTTGTTTAACTTTATTTCTAGGTGTCTAGTGTATTTATTTATCTAGGGTCTTGTGTGTTTCAAATTGATAATCAAATATATCAAGTTTGAAAATCGATAATAGAATCAATTAAAGAAAAATTCACCAATTGGTATCAGGGTTATATCTATCTAACAATTTATATATTTATTGCGCTTTATTATTTTATTGCATGAAAAGTAGAGGTAAGACCTATTCCACCCCCCAAAATATTATGATCTAAAGATCCCGCCTATTGCGTTGTTGATTGTGACGGGCTACAGTCTCAGTCCCCCCACCCACAAAAGTTTTATTGTGAACTAAAGATCCCGCCTATCATAGTTGTCAAAGGCGCCAGAGGCGCGCGCCAGAGGCGCGCGCCTGAGGCGCAAGGCGCCTCCAGGCGCCATCACATCGCCTCTATTGACTTAAGGCGCTTGGGTTAATGAAGGCGTGCGCCTTTACTTCAAAGGCGCCAGGCGAAAGGCTCTCTAAAGGCGCGCCTGATTGGTTTTGTATTATTTTGTTTGTTTATTCTTTGTTTATTTGTTATATTGTTATTGTTTTTATTATATTATTATTTTATTAGTTAAAACATGATAGTTACAAGTTACAACATAAGAAAAAACGAAAAAGAGAACAAAAAAGTAAACAAAGAAGACAGAGGCAGTCAGCGACGAGGATGACTTGGTCTCGGAAGCCGGATCTGCGTTGGATTTGCCGGATCTGTGTCGGCGACTCTGCCGGTAAGTTCTCCAACTTCTCTTCTTCTTCTCTCCTCCTTCTCTTCTTCTTCTCTCCTCCTAGGCTCCTTCTCTTCTCGGATCTCGGAAGCCGGATCAGTTTTTTTTTTTCCTCTACTCTTCTTCTTCTTCTTTTCTTCTCTCGGCCGAGTCAAGTTTGGCAGATTTTTTTTTTTTTTTCTTCTTTTTATTTTTATTTATTTTTTTTTCCTCGAGTCTGGAGACTCTGGAGCATAGTTGTTGCATTGTTGCTATTTTTTATCTTGATCTTGTGCTATTTTATTTTAATCTTAAAATAACAGTTGCTATTTTTTTTTTTTTAGTGAACTTTTATTTTATTTATTTATTTTATTTGTTGAGTTTATCAGTGAACTTTTCCCTTGAAACTTGCAGCATCTGAAAGTCTTTGTTTTTTTTTTTTTGGGTTTCATAACATGATCAATATATTTTCTATTATTCAATAGAGGATGAATACTGAAAATTTTAAAGAGCTAAATTTTATACGATGGTGCAAATGGTGAAATTTGCATTAGTGAAGTTACTGTGATTTAAAATGTGAAGTTACTGTGATTTAAAATCTTACAAAATTTAAAGTGATACATGATTTTCGTGATATTTAAAATACATTATAAAATGCACTGAAGCATGGATTTAAAATACATTATCAAATACACTTTTTTTATTATTCACTGTTGAATTTAAGTACTTGATTTAGTTGGCTTTGACATCTTTATGTTGAATATTGAACTTAAGTAATTCATTTAGTTGACTTTTGTATCTTTATATATATACTATTGCATCTTTAATTCTTTATTAGGTGGGTATTGTTTTTTTTTTTCAACGTGCGCCTTGCTTCAGTTGGGCGCGCGCCTCGCCTTGCGCCTTGCGCCTCAGGCTCCAGGAGGCATTTGCGCTTTTGTGCGCCTTGAGCCTTTAACAACTATGCCGCCTATTGTGTTCTTGATTGGACTGGCTACAGTCTCAGTTTTTTGTTTTTTTTTTTTACCTAGTTGGTACTTACACGTACATGCCTCCACTGAGACTCGAACCCCTGGCCTCTCTTTGAGAAGTAGGGGTTTGGTACCACTAGGCCTATTGGTCACAGTCTCAATTCACACCTCTTTGGTTAATAGTTACCTAATAAAGTCACATTCAAATACCAACAGTTCCCTGGCATTGGGCAACCCGTGGTAATCCAGTATATGCTGGGATGAAGTTTCCAAATATACTCTACAAGTGATTAAATAAAACCCAACAATTTTAAGTGTTTTATATTTGTTTGACATGATGGGGGAGTTGCCAACATTTTTTTTACATGATAGACAAGTTCGCTTCCCTATCTGTTAGGAGATTACTTAATTGAACATTTGTTTGGATCCCTTTCATAAAAGGCAATGGAAGGTTTTTCATTCCAATTTGAAGTTAGCCTATGCCTGAAATAGGGACTTTGTCTTGGCAGTTAGCTTCCCCATTAAAAAGGGCAGGGATAGCTTGAAGAGTTATGAAAGAGTTTTGCTTGGCATTTTTTTTTTTTGCTGTTTTTCTTAAGCTTACCTATTCTGAAGATCAGACTTTCCATTTTCCTTCTCTTGCCACTTGCTGGAGCGGAATGGAGTTGACTGATGTACTGTAGTACTGAAAAGAAGAATCTACCCACCAATTTCCAAAGTGTTCAGTGATATATGCTACTAGGCTGACCTGGGCTATTGAAGGGTGGTATCTCTACATCAGGGCATAGATAACTGGAAAAAGTTTACCCTGCTCACAGTAAGTGTAGATAAGTGGAAAAGATACAGGTGGTTGGACTGGTAAAAGAATGTAATAATTCATTGAATTAGGAACTGGCACTTTGGGTTCCTAGCCTCAACCTTGATTGGAATTCAGGAGTTCTTTTTGTTGATTTTTTTTTTTTTTTGTGATTGGAAATATATAATTTGTGAGGTAGGGATCATCTGCAGAGAGCTTTCGTTATGCATATGGTTTGGGATTGTGAATTAGCTTTTACTTGCTTTTTTTTTTTTTTCGTAGTTGGCACTCACACACACTTGTCTCTTCTGAGACTTGAACCCCTGACCTTCCTTTGGGAAGTAAGAGGCTGATACCGCTAGGCCACTGGCCCGTTGGTTTTCGATATTGTGAATTAGCTTTTACTTGCTTTTTCTTTATCTACATTGATTATTCACTCGTATTTTTAGTTTCCTTGTTATTTTCTTTATTCCATTAGATGAAATTTGAGGCGTTGACAGTAATAATGTGACCATACTTTCTTTGTCAGTTTATGTATATAAACAACTTCATATGAAAAATGCAGGCATCTATGTTGGGGATGATAAAGTTATCCATTTTACTAGACGTGGCCAAGAAGTAGGAACAGGGACAGTGCTGGATGTCCTCTTGTTAAGCTCAGGACCAGCCCGATCTCAAGTGCCGTGCACCACTTGCAGCCCTCTAGTGGAGGGTCATGGTGTTGTCTCCTCATGCCTGAACTGCTTCCTTTCCGGTGGTGTTCTGTACCGTTTTGAGTACTCTGTCAGCCCTGCTCTCTTTCTTGCAAAAGCACGAGGCGGGACTTGTACTCTAGCAGTTTCAGACCCAGATGAGATTGTGGCCCATCGAGCAAACTATCTACTCAACAATGGCTTTGGGTGCTATAATGTATTTAAGAACAATTGCGAAGACTTTGCTATCTACTGCAAGACAGGACTACTTGTCCTGGATCAAAGAACAATGGGTCAGAGCGGACAGGCAGTATCTATAATAGGTGGCCCCCTTGCAGCTGTTTTATCTACGCCATTGCGTCTTGTCACCACCAATGTTTACGGGATGGCAGCAACAGCTGTTGGGGTCTACTGTGCTAGCCGCTATGCTGCTGATATTGGCATGAGGAGGGATGTGGAGAAGATGTCTGCTGAGGATTTGACGAGGAGGTTGGCAATGGGAACACTTCAGGTTGCTGAACCGAGTATCGGAGCTTTGCCGCCTCCCATCTGTTAGTCCTCACTGGTTTCCATCCTAATAGAATATGAAGTTTGTATGTTTCTCTTGATGTTTGGTCAATAATTGCTGGAAACCGGGCTTTTTAATGTCCAGTACGTCATCAACTTGGTGGTGGACTAGCTTCGTTTTATGCAGGTCTGCTCTTATTTTACATTAAATTCTGTTTGGGGATTGGCATGTTCTATATATTTTAGTTTGTGAATTACAATTTATTTTGAAATGATAGGCTTTTGGACACTCTGTATTCTTTGTGAATTGAAATATATTTTGAAATGTTAGGCTTTGGAGAATTTGGTTGAATTATAGTTCCCTGCATTACATGATAAGAATTCTTTGATTGATCCATAGGAATTTACAACGGAAAAACTTATTTTCGTTGTAATATCACTAAAGGAAAGATTGGTTATAAATCTAGAGAGATTGGTTATGCACGAAACGAAAACCTTTGAGAACAAAAATTGGGCCGTTGCATACTTTAGGACCCTAACTGAAATGCTACAATGACCACTTCAGATATGCTGCCATGAGATATCTGAGGTCTAATGGTGAATTGGCAGAGGTGGAGTGCAAATTAGATGCTCTTCGACAGAAATATCTGCTGACCACTTCTATTTTTTTATTCTTTTTATCCCGGTGACCACAATTGGAGAATCTAATTCTCATTATCTAGATAATGATAACAGTTGCCCATATCTCAGTATCATTTATCTGGGTATTGATTATGAGATTCTCCATATATTCTTCCTCATTTGGCCATTTTCCAATGGTTCATCAATTCAGGGTAAAAAGATGGGATGTTACCCTGGTTATTTTTCTCCCTGAAAACTGCATCCAATTCTTGATTTAAAGTGTTTTAAGTTTGAGAATTCAGCGAGCTGCAAGAAAATGACCAGTTCTTACAATTTTATTGCAACTTATGGTCTCTCTATTCATTCTGCACCCCCACAAAATGGTGATTTAGTGGTGATAGATGTAGACAAGGTTCAATCTGTTGGACAAATAAAAACCAAGCCCACAATTACTACTATTCAAACAAGATTTAGGTCTAAGTTGATGGACAGACAACACTTTGTTGAACTAATTTTGATCCCTCATGCGACTGTTATTTTTGTTTAAACATGATAAATATCAATAAATAAAACCCTAGGATGCCTTTCATTATCTGCCTGCCTGGCTGCTAGTCCACTAAAGACCAACATAGCGCATCCTTAGTGATGTAGATTGAATACAGTTTGCCCACATTTACAATTAAAGCCAATTCAACCAAATAAGGTGTTCCTTATCATCACAGCTAAACTATTATTTCTCTCTCTCTCTTCTATTTTTTATTTCATAAATGGATAATTACACTAACCTCCCTCAAGTTTTGTCAACCTACACTAACCTCTCCTCTTGTTTGTCATATTACACTCATCTCCCCTACTAAGCATATAAGATGGACTGCATTAATGGAAAGAGTAAAGTTACTAATTTACCCTTTGTCCACTCTCTCTCTTCACAATAACATCACGGGGCTCTAAACACTATCTCCTACGAACTCAGTTCAGTCTGGTGAAAGCCACAATAGCGACCGCTCTGCGACTTCATATAGATATATATATCCACATATATAATGAGATATACGTATCCCACGGGCACTATTCTCTTCAAGCTCTCTCGGTTGGGTCTCTTATACACGTGTATAGCTCTGTGTTTGTATCGTTGAAGTACAGTTCAGTCAAAGCTCACCGAAATCAATGGAGTTCCAATTCTATTGGGTGTTTACCTGAATCAATGGAAGAGGGTGCCGGCGAACACCATGTCCACGTACCCTGTAATCCTGTATACTATATATATATATAAATATATACACACACACACGCCATAACCATCCACACACCATCATCTTCAACCCAAACCGCGCCGGCAGCCAAACATGACCCAAACCACATGAATGATTTTAACTGATTCTTGATCTTTAATTTCTCGAGAAAAGAAAAAGAAAAAAAAGAAGAAGAAGAACAAACCAGAAGTTGTATCTGTTCGTAGAAAGAGAAAATAACTTTCTCAGCTGCCACGGAAATGGGTCTGCTCGTTGCATGAAGCGTTGCCGGAGAGGAGTGCACCAACTTGCCAGACTAAAATGGGTTTACCCAAAACTATCAGCTCGCCGTCACAATGGAGCTTTGCCGTTTGCCGTCGTGAGCTTCACCAATGGATTCTTCATTCCTCGCCGGTGAGTTCTCCATGTCGCCGTTTGTCCTCACCGGTAAGCTCCTTTACCGCTGTTCATCATTGCTCGCCCCTGTTCTTGTTTGCTCGCCGGCCCATCCTTGTTAAATTCAGTGCTTGCATCGCGGCCGGATCCTTACACTATGTTGCTCACTACCGTTGCCGGAATCGCGACTATTCACTATTATCCAGCATCATCTTTAGCTTCGGCCAACCTTCAAGACCCATCTCGACGAAGCTTCCCGGCACCATCACAGACCGCCCATTGCGAGTTTTACCTTCCCAACAACCATTGTTGCCCTTATCAAAAGCTAAGCGCTCTCTTTGGGTATGTATCTATATTTCTTTGTCTACAAATTTTTGGTTCCAATGTGGTTCAGTCCAAACTAGGTTTTGCTGTCACCGGAACCAAGGAAGGTCTCAAGAGACAATGATTTTGTTGTCACCGGAGTTGCAGTTTGTTCGCCGGAACTGCGTTTCACACCGAGTAGTGTTCTTGCGGATTTGTTCGCCGATTGGTTTATTTAAGCTACGCTGCTACTTGGACCATATGTCTCGGAGGCTCACCGGAATGGTGAGCCCAAACTGAAGCTCGTGGGTTTCGTTGAAGATGATGGTCACCCAAACTGAAGCTCACAAGGGTAGAATGGAAATTTGATAAATAAAAAATTGCTGACATCATCATTTTTCTTCAGAAACAGTATTTTCCGTATGCGGAGGGGAAGTCTATGTTATTTATATACAAACCTCGAAGGAGGTGAGTGTAATATGACAAACAAAAAAGGAGGTCGGTGTAGGTTGACGAAATTTCAGAAGAGGTTAGTGTAATTATCCCTTTCATAAAAGCCTTAATTTTTAATATTATTAGAGACTTATTTAAATGCTTTTTCTAACATTATAAGACTAAGGGAACTAGAGCCAGCCCCTACAATTTCTACAAATATATGGATCACTCTCCAATCTCACCTTTATTAAACATCATAACTTAAGAGTTGGGGTAATAATGAAAATTCATATTTGGCTATTATTAGGTTTGATTTCTTTTGCTGTATATTTTGGACGCGTGTATAATAAAATATTGAAAATGTTGAAAGGTTGTTAAAAGGTACCAAATCTGATCTAATAAACATAATAATACCATAATTCAAGGGCAATCTATCTATATCAAAGCATAGAAGCATATGAGTAATAAAAAGCATATCTCATGATGAAAGTTGTAATTTTAAAATTAAAATAGGAGCATTATGAAAGTAATCGTCGTCGGAGGAGGTGGGCCCTACAAACTTTTGACTCCACTGGAGTGGTAGTTTCCTCGTCCTTGTCTACATCTTGTGGCCAACCAAAACCCACCCCTGCATCGCCAACACCTCCACCATTTTTTTTGTAAAATAATTATTCAGAATATTTTTTATTCATAAAAGAAGACAGATGAGGGGACCACTAATACCATTGTCTTTGCGTGTACGTGGATAAAATGAATTCAAAATGATGTAGACTGACTAAGTGTAAGAGACACCATATAAGTTCCCAATTCCGTAATTCATTAGAAAACGAATGTTGTTGGTAGTCATTTTCTCAATGCAGTCTCAGCATTGAAATTTATGTAACCAAACATAACCCTATTAAGACATGATTATGTTTGACCAAAACAAGTCTTAAATATCAATCAAATATTTTTGAGTTCAGTCTAATACTTGCTAAATTGAGATAATGGAGACAACAACTAAATAATTTACATGCAAATTATAGCGTGTCCGACTCTAATTATCCACCGACATATTAAATTTACATAATTCTACAAATCGATTTTTTCCCCCTAAATTTTACAAGTCAATTTCAATCAACCTTCTTACTATTAATTTATGAATATCTTAAAGTGTGTGTATATATATATATATAGAAAGAGATACAGAGAAAGATTCATGCCCTAGGATATTGGTGAGGATAACATCACGGCTGGAAAGCAATAATATTCTTTTGTACGTGAATGATGTGAGAGGAACATCAAAAATAAAAAATATATATATTCGCATTGTACCTATAGTTAGTTGATTGGATAAAAGAATTGTAATACTAATAATATATTTGGGATGCTTAAAAGATCAATTGGTACATTCTTAATACATGTGCAACCTTGCATATACGTGGTTTTAGGTCACGCTATATCTTTATTCATTAATATGGTGCAATTATGGTATTGTTTGTGTTAAATTCGGGTAACATGTACTACTACTTTTGCCAACTTAAGTTTCTCATTAAATTCATCTTCTCTTTTAAATTGAAATGTCAGTCCAATTTAGAGCACTAATAAGTAAAGACACCTATATATAATAACTCCTCACATGGGAGATTCATGACCAGAGCTTAGGATTTTAAGAATCATCATCACTATTTTTATGATACAACAATTTTACTTTGACAAAAATAAAAGCTACGGGTTCAGTTTGTATGAGCGTAAATATTTTTTATATTTTTTAGTATTTGGTTGTTGTAAAATATTTTTTTTTTAAAAAAAAAATTATAATTTAACAAAAATAATGTATTTATCAATTTTCGATAAGTCATTTTATATGTTCGACCTAATAAACTCGACCGTCGACGATTTTACCTGAAAAAATATTTGTGAAGAAAATATTTTTAATTACATACTTTCATATAAGTTTTGGTTTAACCCTTCTTTAATAATTATTTCTTAATTGCATTATCTAATTTGATAAAAATATTGAAATTAACATAAAATCCAACCGGTTTAGAAATCAGAATTTCAACTACTTAAGTCACGGACTTCCATAACCAACAAGCATGGACCAGTCTATTTGATACTGTAGTTGATACCCACTCAAAAAAATGATAAATTTAAAAGGACAATATTGCCTTTGTTGTTTATTAATAAGAGAGAATATGAACAACACATGAAAAGTCCAAAATATACACACATATTTTTATACACCACAATGAAAAATGCTACAATAGTATATTTTTTTGAAAACTTACGCAGAATAGTTATAATGAATTGCTAGACCTATTCTTTTAATTCGATAATTATTTAACAAATAAAATAATAAGACCCGCCACTTAATTGTATTTGATATAAATAATCAATTAATAGTCATTGAATTAAACAATTTATTGTTCGACGTAAGTTTCTCTCTCTCTCTCTCTCTATATATATATATATATATATATATGTCACCTGAAAAAATAAAAGAGTTCACTCTTTTGTAAGAGCGTTACTCTAAATAAAAAGAGAAAAAATAATAATAAAGTTTATAGTTTTTTTTTTTTTAATTAGTTCTTCCAAAGAGAAAAAAGAATTAAAAATTAGTTTATATTATTAATTAAAAGTGTAATATACAATCACTTCTTGTTATTTATTACGGAGTATTTGGTATAGAATTCACTCCTTTTTAGAGAGAAGCGCATGAGCCTCCTAAACTGCTTATTGCCTTCCTTTCTCTTCTTTTCACTCCATAAAAAGACTCCAAAAGAGAAGTACTGAATACTGATCTGATTCCCTTCCCACACTTCTCTTCGCTCAATTTCCATCTCTTATTTCCTCCCAAGTTTTTCCTCGCCCTCGCTCTTTCTCACTCCAATCATCACACTCTCTCTCTATAGACTCACTATTCCTTGCAAGATTAACTGAGATGCGTATCTCAAACAACAGCCATCAGAGGTCACCTGTGTCTTCTCTGTAATAATTGGGTTTTAAATGGTTGTGTTGTGGATGTGGTTCATCAAACCTCTGCTGCCATGGGAATTGTCCTTGTTTTAGCATGCTTTCTGTGTCTTGTTTCAGTTGTTGTTCATTGTGTTACAGACCCTAATGACCTTGCAATTCTCAACCAGTTCAGGAAAGGGTTGGATAACCCAGAGCTCCTCGACTGGCCTCCCAATGGTGATGACCCGTGTGGTCCTCTGACTTGGAAACACATCGTCTGTTCTGGTAACAGGGTTTCTCAGATTCAAGTTCAGGGTTTGGGCTTGAAGGGTCCATTACCCACTAACCTCAATCAGCTCTCTATGCTCACAGATTTAGGCCTTCAGAAGAACCAATTCAATGGAATGTTGCCATCTTTTAGTGGGTTGTCGGAATTGAAGAAAGCTTATTTGGATTTCAACAATTTTGATTACATTCCTTCAGATTTCTTTAATGGGCTTGTCAGTTTGCAGGTTTTGGCTTTGGATTCCAATCCCAACCTTAATGCCACTGATGGTTGGTCATTGCCCACTGGGTTGCAAGATTCACCTCAATTAACCAATCTTTCTTTGATGAGCACTAATTTGGTTGGTCCATTTCCTGAATTTTTGGGTACCATGTCATCTCTGTCCGTGTTGAGACTGTCCATGAATCGGATTTCTGGGGTTCTTCCGGCGAGTTTTAAAGACTCAGTTTTGCAGATTCTTTGGTTGAATGATCAGTCTGGTGGTGGGATGACTGGTCCAATCGATGTAGTAGCATCAATGGTGTCACTCACTAGTCTGTGGCTTCATGGGAACCATTTTTCAGGTAAAATTCCTGGCAACATTGGTGATTTAACTCTTTTGAAGGATCTTAATCTTAATAGCAATGATCTTGTGGGACTAATTCCGGATAGCTTGGCAAGTATGAATTTAGACAACTTAGATTTGAACAATAATCACTTAATGGGTTCAATCCCAAAGTTTAAAGCTGTTAATGTAACTTGCACTTCAAATCCATTTTGTGAATTTCATCTGGGGGTTCCCTGCACCCCGGAAGTTACGGCACTCTTAGAATTCCTTGACTGGGTGAATTACCCGTCGAGACTTGTTTCTTCATGGTCTGGTAATGATCCATGTAAGGGGCCATGGTTTGGATTGAGTTGCAATTCCAACCAAAAGGTTTATATCATAAATTTGCCTAAGAACAATCTTACTGGTACCTTGAGTCCTTCCCTTGCAAAGCTAGATTCCCTTTCTCAAATTAGACTTGCATCTAATCATTTTACTGGTCCAATCCCAATGAACTGGACTGGCTTGAAGTTTTTGACAGTGGTGGATTTAAGTGCAAACAACCTTTCTGCTCCATTGCCAAAATTCAATAGCACTGTGAAAGTTGTCATAGATGAGAATCCTTTACTAAATTCCAATCAGTCCATAACAACCCCTGCGCCCGAAAATAGCCCATCATCTGGGGGTGGTTCGCAATCCTCACCTCACAACCCATCTGCAACCACCACACCCTCGACTTCCAATCCTGTTAGTCCTTCTGATTTCAAAAGTTCCAAAAAGACCAAATATATTGTAATTGTGGCACCTGTAGCAAGCTTTGCATTTCTGGTCCTTTTGGCTGTTCCTTTTTCTATTTATTACTGCAAGAAGAGACAAGACACCTTCCAAGCTCCAAGTTCTATTGTGATTCACCCGAGAGACCCATCTGATGCAGATAACGCAGTTAAGATTGTTGTTGCTAATAACAACGGAAGCATTTCTGTGGGCAGTGGTTCCGCGAGCAGAAACAGTAGTGCAATGGGTGGTGAGTCCCATGTCATTGAGGCTGGAAACTTGATCATATCAGTTCAAGTTCTTCGGAATGTGACCAAGAATTTTGCCCCAGAAAATGAGCTTGGCCGTGGTGGCTTTGGAGTAGTTTATAAGGGAGAATTGGATGATGGAACAAAAATAGCAGTGAAGAGAATGGAGGCTGGTGTGATTAGCAACAAAGCTTTGGATGAATTTCAGTCTGAAATTGCTGTTCTTTCAAAGGTCCGCCACCGTCATTTGGTTTCCCTTTTGGGATATTCTGTTGAAGGCAGTGAGCGAATTCTGGTCTACGAGTTTATGCCTCAAGGTGCTCTCAGCAGGCATCTTTTCCACTGGAAGAGCTTGAAAATAGAACCTCTATCTTGGAAGAGGAGGCTAAATATTGCCTTGGATGTTGCTAGAGGGATGGAGTACCTTCATAATCTGGCTCATCAGAGCTTCATACACAGAGATCTTAAATCTTCAAATATCTTACTTGGTGATGATTTTAGAGCGAAAGTTTCAGATTTCGGATTGGTTAAACTTGCTCCTGATGGGGAGAAATCTGTGGTGACCAGGCTTGCAGGGACTTTTGGATACCTAGCACCAGAATATGCTGGTAAGCATTTTGTTTTATTTTTTATTCTTTCATTTTTTTTCTCTGCATTGCATTGAAATTTGATATTGATGGTGATAATAGTTTCTGAATTCTAATAATGGACATATTCTGATCGGAACTATACTAACTTACTGGATAGAGAAGTTGATCTGTCGTAGGTGGGATATAGGGTTTTCATGAGATAAATCATAGATGTCTGGTAACTTAGAAAAACTGACCATTGCCGTTAAGACTTGTAGTATCAATTTACTACCCAAAAAGGAGAAGTTCAATTGAGTTTGTTAAAGTTAGATTCTGTTTTAGTGATAGATAAAGTGTTTCGAATTTGATTATGTGCTAGTAATAGATAAAGTGTTTTGAACCAATATCTTCATAGACATAAGAAGTTTAGAACTCGGGAATCTACGACAAGCTTTAGCATATGAGCTAAGCTTCTAAGAAAAAAAAAATATCACTTTGATAATTGTTCCAATAATTCAATTAACGGTCAATCATAACTGATATTTCTTGTAAGAAGTATGATGCAAATTTAAATATTGAGGTAGTGTTTCAATTTTGACTGCTACAATCCGAAGCCCAAACCAAGATTTGAAGTCTTTACTGTATTGCTAAGATTTATTTTTTCCTTCTTTTTTTCCCAGTGATTGTTTGTTCTTGATCATGCTCATGTATCACATATTTTTCAGCATCCATTATCCTCCTCTGACATGTATAAAATATTATACTAACTTTAACTGTGACATGCTAATTGATACAGTTACTGGCAAAATCACGACCAAAGCTGATGTCTTCAGCTTCGGTGTTGTATTAATGGAGCTATTAACTGGATTGATGGCACTCGACGAGGACAGACCCGAGGAAAGCCAATACTTAGCAGCATGGTTCTGGCACATCAAATCAAGTAAAGAGAAGCTTAAGGCTGCCATTGACCCAGCCCTGGACGTTAATGAAGAAACATTCGAGAGCATCTTCACCATAGCTGAACTTGCCGGGCATTGCACTGCAAGGGAGCCCAGCCAACGGCCTGACATGGGCCATGCTGTGAATGTACTAGCCCCTCTTGTAGAGAAATGGAAACCATTGGACGATGACCTGGAGGAATATTGTGGGATTGACTACAGCCTTCCTCTTAACCAAATGGTGAAGGGCTGGCAAGAAGCAGAAGGAAAGGACTCCAGTTATTTGGACCTAGAGGATAGCAAGGGTAGTATCCCAGCAAGACCTACTGGATTCGCGGAATCTTTTACTTCAGCAGATGGTCGCTAAAAGAGGTACTTTTGTCACTTTTATGTGACACATTTATTTAGCAGTTGTAGATAGTGTGTTGTTTTGTTTCTGTTTTTAATCATCATATCATGAGAATGGTTGTAGTTATGTTGATTATGGTGGATGAAGTTGGAGACTTTGAATGCTTACAAGAGCTATGTGTAAGCTCTAGAGCTTCTGCTATGAGATGTAGATATAGTAGAGGAGGAGAATGAGGATGATTATCAGTTGTTTCTGTTTGTATTCACAATGAGTAAATTCATTATTTATGAGTTTTTGATTAAATAAAAAATAAAAAAATTATTTGGCATTTCAACAAAAACTATGATTTTTTTTTTTTTTTTTCCCTTGGTGTTAATGTAATATTCATCATATTAAGTTGTCCATTGAAATGGTCACTTATTACCTTGTGTTGCTTTCATAGAAATTCTTGTGTATTGATGAATCAAGAGAGGTCCTAGACTTGTTTTAGAAATTCATGTGCATTGAATTACCATATTCTTTGAATGGAAAAATAAATCAATTTGGTTACTGTCTTGAATTCCTTTAACTAAGTGGGGTTAAGTTACTTTGAGTTTTCAATTTCCCTTTAATTCTTTCATTACTTTCAATCAATTATGGTTGTTAAGTCAAAAGTGGACACCTAATTGTTTCTTTTATAAAAGGCAAAGAAAAGATTACAAACTGACTGAGACCACACAACACCAAAATAACGTTAAGACTAGTCTCTCTCAATCAATTGAAACATGTAGGGTTAAGAATTCCTGATTCATTAGATTCTTTACCTTAACTATACTTTTATTTATTTTTAGAGAAACCATATATGGAACAATGAAAAGAGTGAAGATCATCAGTATCAAGTTTTAGAGGACAGCTATTGAAAAGAACAGATGTGATTACGTGATTGACATGGCACTTGTAGTGTTCGATTGTTGGGTCACAAATACTTGACAGATGTGAACCATTTCGTGGCGTGTATTGTTTCGTCATTCACTTATTGAGGACTCTCACATGACCCACACGCCACACAATTTCAGTGACATGGACATCTCACATGCAAAACCCAATCAAACCCCGATAATCAATCAACACCACTCTTTACCCATAATCCGGCCAAATTTTTTTTTTTTTTTCAAAAAACTATTCATGAATATTTTATCATGGCCTTCTAACTTTATTCAAACATGCAATGTCATCAATGAATTATCTTTTATTTATTATTATATATATATATTTTATTATTGACAAGAAACATACTTACAGATCTAATTGCACACATTTTTTTGTTAACACTCGAGTTTCACGCTCGAACTAGATGCTATCTGGTACCTCAAATAGGACCTGAATAGATTTCTTCATTTTTGTTCTTTCCTTCCCACTCCTGTTGTGCCCACTATCTGCTTCTGGGAATGTGTGTAAATACAGAGAAGCCCATTAAATGGGGGAGGCCCAAAGTCGAATACAAAAACCCAACAACGATTTTAACTTAAGCCCAGCCCAAGATATAAAAGGAGACCAACTCTTACTCTGTAGCAGCCCAAAGAGGCAAACGCAAGTGACCATTAGAAAACGGCTATTTTTAGCATTGGTTAGAAAATTTTCAAATACGTGCATTTTTGGACCATTATTTAAAGCCCTGATGTTTTAAAAAAATAAATTTGACTAAAACATTGATGCGACTATGAAAAAAATACTTTTTATTTTATTCAAGAGCACAAACTATCCTTACTACTTCAACAATCAGTGATTAAAATTGTTCGTCAAAATAATGTACGCAAAAAGTGATGCATATTTTCATAAAAGTGGTACTTATGCAAAAACATTCTTATTATTTTGGTAGCTATCATTTTTGTGAATAGAGAGTATCACTTTTTATGAATTCATGTATCATTTTTTGTGCAAGCGGTTTTGATGACGGGCGAATGATAGTTTGGGCACTTGAATAAAATAAACAATATTTTTTCCATGTACTTTAACGCCATAAAATAGTAAATAGCGGTTCAAAAGTTCATACATTTGTAATTTTTCCTTACAACAAAAGATTGAGTTCTGTAATTTCCATTGAAGGAGATTGTTCTGATTCACATAGGATTACTAGGTTCCTTTGTATATACTGTACAAGTTGTTCAAGATTGTTTACACCTTTTGCTTTTATTTTATCCTTTTCTCTTTGGTTCATTCAGAAATCGCTGGGCAATTAGTTCAGAGCTCAAAAGCAGTTACAATATTTGAATACCATTTGCTCAAAATGAATGTTCATGTCAATTATATATATATATATTATTGTTAGTGGACTCACTCGGAAGCCAACCATAAAAATAAGGATTAGAAATTTAGAACTGAATCAAAGAAACTTCATCATGGTGCATGGGTGAAGAGAGGAATGGCTTACGGAAAAGAAAAAAACACACACAAAATCTAAGATAATTATAGCCTTGAAATTTTATAATTTTAAAATTTATTTAGGCTATGTTCGGAACCAATTTTTTTTATTTAATTTCGCAGATTTCAATTTCAAAACTCCAATTATACGTATGCCGAACATAACCTTAAGTTTTGTTTGATGTCAATGGAATTGAAACTTAAGAATTAAAATTAGTGGAATCGAAGAAAAGTAACTCAGAAAATTGAACCAAATTTTTTTTCAATTTCACTAATTTTAATTCAAAGATTCTAATTCCATACTACCAAATACAACATTGTAATAATTCACACATTTTACTCAGACTTTTATACATTTTTTTTAACCATTTAGTACACACAATGTCACACACTTCCCCTCAAAAAAAAATTGTTTGCACCTAGCAAACTTTTATACGTTTCTTTTGACCGTTTTGAACAAAAACAACAGTCAGACATGGGGTGGATATTCAAATATATCACCTCAACTCTAAATGACTTAATTTATGTTCCAGATCCAGCACATTATTATCTTATTCAATTTATTACTTACAAATTTAATTATTAAAAAAAAAAAAAAAAAGAAGTCATCATTGAATTTAATAAGATTATGATGTGGTTGAAGTTAGATTATATATATATATATATATATATATATATATAAATAAATAAACATTGAACTTAGACCCCAGCGCAAGCTTACTTTGTATAATATTTGTGATTGTGGAAAAGCAAAGTGTTTAGTGTGCGGATTACACACTTGCGGGGCCCATTACATATTGTACACTTGACACTACACTTCTGGAGGCTTGAGTAGCGCCTGACAAAGCAAAATTTTTTTACCTGAATAATAATATAATATGTAAAAATGATATTATGTGATGGTGTGTAGAATAATTATTGTATGTTATTCATTTAAAGTTTATTGTGTATGTTTCTCTATGTGTATTGTATTAAATAATTAATGTAAAAGAGTCATAATTTAATTAATTAAAAAAGAGTCATTTTTTCTAAATAAATAAAAAGAGTCATTTAATTTGCATAAGAATTTAATTATTTATTTTTTAAAAAAAATTGTACTTTTTGACTTATCAATTTAATTTATTTATTTGTTACATAATAATTTAATTAATTTGCATAATAATATAAAAAATAACATTTTATTCGATTAATAAATTTAAACATCTTCATCACATAATGATTTAATTAATTTGCATAATAATACAAAAATTACATTTGATTCGATTATATCAAATTTAAGCATCTTCATCACCAAATTGATTCCACAAATGTTCCATCAGATGTCTCCTGAGATCAGCATTATCCGCTCTATTACGAATTCTTGTAAAGTGACCGGAAAAGTGCCGTCAACATTGTTGGGTTTCGAATATATTGTGAGAGGGATATTGGCTCATCCGGCGGAGGTGTTCATCGCAAAATGTGACTGTGCTTATATTCAATGATCATATTATGCAATATGATGCATGTTCTCATTATCTTGTTTAGATTTTCTTTATCCTAATAATGCACGGGTCCTTGCATTATAGCCCACTTGATCTGCAACACGCCACACACTCGTTCAATATTTTTCCTAATGGCTTCTTGTTTTTTAACAAACAATTTTTCTTTGCCAGTTGTGGGTGTGGGATGGTCTGAATCATAGTTTCCCACTTGAGATAAATACCATCAGATAGGTAATACCCCATTGTACGTCGATGCCGATTTACCTCGTAATTAATAGGAGGCATTGTGCCATTGATCAAGCTATTGAATACTGGGGAATGATCTAAAACATTCACGTCATTGTTTGAACCAGCCATACCAAAGAAAGCATGTCAAATCCACAAATCTTTCGATGCAACCGCCTCCAATATTAGGGTAGGCTTATGATTTATTACCCTGTGTGTGCTATGCCACCCTGTAAGACAGTTATTCCATTCTCGATGCATACAATCTATAGAGCCAAGCATACCTGGGAAGCCTCTTTCTTCCCCTTCTTGATATAGACGTGCAATGTCCTCTTCGTTCGGTGTGCGTTGGTATTGCCCTGTATATACTGCAATTACAGCATCACAAAAGCGCTTTAAGCTTTCAACCGCAGTGGTTTCAGAAATCTTTATGTACTCATCACAAAAATCTGCTGAAATTTCAGTGCGAGTATACGTATTGCAGCTGTCATCTTCTGTATAGGAGTGAAACCCATAGGACCGAGGGCATCAGGCTTCTGGATGAACCATTCATCATATGTTGTAACACTGTTTAAAATGCGAACAAACAACTCTCGCTGCATCCGAAATCGTTTACGAAACATCTCGACTGGAAAAGTGGAATTTTCAGCAAAATAATCTTAGAATAGCCGCTAGGTTGCCTCTTCTCAATCACGTTTAATATATTTCTCTTACGACGTCGAAGAATGCCTTTACCTTCTCAGGTGATAACAGTTAAATCACCGCATTCATTATTTTTCGACGTTCTTAAAAAAAATCCCCGTCAGAAGATGAAAATGAACTCAATAGAGAAATTGACTCGGACACTGGAATAGATTGTGATGATGAAGCCATTTTTTTTCCTATAATAAAGATAAAGACTTAAAAAAGAGAAAATGAATTCGAAGATGGAAAGAAGTGGACTTGATAATTGAAAAATTGAGAAAATGAGTGATTTATATAGTCATTGAGAATATAGTTGTTGAAAAAAAACAAACAGAATATAGCTGTTGGATATATAGTCGTTAGGAAAAAGATAAACATAATATAACTGTTAGAATAAGACAAACATAATATAGCCATTGGGAATATTGTCGTTGGGAAAAAGACAAACAGAATATAGTTGTTGAGAAAAAAACAAATAAAATATAGTCGTTGAGAAAAAATAAAGTGAATATAACTGTTTGTAATATTACATATTCTCTATAAATACTAC